TATAATTTCATTTAGATAAAAAATGGAGAACAGATTATTATTTTTCCCCTCAAACAACTCAGATCTTTGTCAGTGAAGCTGAGTGCTCCCACATCTCTACCTTCATGGTGCCCATCTACATTAAGATCCCAAATTCTGAGATTAAAGTCAGAATTCTGAGATTAATGTCAGACTTTTTTTCCCATGTTCAACTGAAATAAAATGTAAAAATCAGTTGTTGTTTTTTTTCCAGTGGCCCTAATCCTCTTCCATAGTAACTATATCAAAATTGTAAAAAAAAAAAAATATATATAAACATTTTGCATTGAAGATTTTTTTTTGTCTGTTCATATGTTCCTCAAGTAGAAAAGTTTCAGTTTTACCTGGTTTAATTTCGAAAGAAGTCTTTTTTTAAGAATCTTTTGCTATCCCATTATTTATTAAAAAAAAATATTGACAGATTATAATTGGTTGGCAAAGTAAAGGTTAGTTGCAGCCCTATATGTAACCCTTTTCTTCCACCTTCCAACTAGGCTGTACTTTTTGTTGATCTGCCATGCAGAAGCATAAACATGCATTGATTTTCAGGGTTTTATTTTATCTTCAAAGGGTATTAATACTTTTATTTGACACTGGACAATATAATCAGGAGATAAAAAGAATCTCCAAAAGCAAACCTAGTGCACTTTGTATGACTTCTTATATTTCTGGATAGAGGCTGGCCACGCTAACCTTGCTGAAAACTAGAGGGTCAGGAGGTAAAAATGGGAGGCAAAGGAAAAGACAGAAGTCCAAACCAAACCACAACAGAAAAAGCTTTTTGAGGGCTGGAATCTTGGCTGACTTCAGCTAAACTTCCCCAGTACGATCCATTCCTCCCTAACCAGCCCTGACATAAATGCTACAAACAACCCCAAAATGACAGACCGTGGCCTACAGCTGTGATTGTGGTGGTCGGCAGCAGGTTGAGGACATGGCACAAACTAAATTTGGTTGACAATCAAAGCAACATTTTGCTTGGAATCAGAGGAAGAAAATCTGATTTTGTGACTTTCAAAAAATATAAAGCAATAAAGAAGTAGACGAGAGTATTCTTACAGAATCAAAGGGAATGAAAAAATTAAAAGATGAATGAGAGGAAAACTGGAGAACCAACGGAAAATGAGGAACAGACAGGAAGGAGGGAAGGAAGGAAAGGCACACAATGACGTTGTGTTGACAAAAGAGACAGACGTGTCTTCCGTTTCTCCTCTGCCTTTAATAAGCCTCAGAATAGAAAGGAAAGTGAGAATCCATTCATGCTAACTTACAATTGAACTAAAAAAACTTCTCCACCTTTTTGTTTGAATAGACATTAAGACGTCTGTGAAGCCCATATAATTCCCAGCTTGCAGGGGGAGAGGGGGAGAAATAACAAGGCCAATGAGTGTTGAGTAAGGCTGCTGTCAGAGTTACATCTTACGCAAGCACTATTCACATTCTTCACCTGATACCTGTCATCTCAAAGGTTTTAAAGCAGATAAATTTAGAAGATTTCTTTCGTTTGCTGTCTCCCCCTTCATTGCATACATAACCTGCACCCACTCTTTGCATGTTTAAAATCACCATTTGCATACATTTGCATTCAGACATATATCACAGCAGTGTGGCTCATGAGGCAGGACTCTGCACATTTGAGATGGTTTCTCTAATTTACCTGTTGACCCCCGTTCACCTCCACCCTCCTCCATTCTTGACCAGTTGGGAGTGGATTTCCCGCTGGAGCCACCCTCTCCAGCCACCTCTCTTCTCTCTGATGACATAGGAGAATGTCGGCTGCTTGCAAACCTATCAGCACAAAAAAAGATTACTTGAGAAAATACTTTAACATATTATAAATGATCAAAAAGTAGGGCAAGAAAAAAACAGTAACACATAACCTGCCTCTGGGTTTTAGTGGGTGGAAGTGAAGTGAGAGCACCTTACTCTGAAATATTACAGCTGTCTAACAAATACACTATATTTTCAATCAAATTATACTGCAATTATATTTTTTGGGACTGAAATATCTAAGTCTATATATTCCATATCCACCACATGTGAAAACTAATGATTGCTTCGTTGCTTTTATACCATTAAGATGAACACAGGATGAATAATGATGACAAAGTTAGTGCCTCAGGGCAAGTTTAAAGTTTGTAGAATATATCTGTGTGGAGATTGAATATGAAACATTAGAGACATTACTGTTCAGGCATGGACTTCTGCCTCCAGTGAGCAGAGCTTCCAGAAGCATCACTAGAACATGACAGGTTGCTAGGAGAGCTGCGGTTGTGAGGAGAACGACCTAAAGCCAAGGAGGAAGCCAGGCTGTAGCTCTCACTTCCAGGAGACATCCTGGAAAACAACCAAGCATTACAAAACAATATAAATGCATCATTGGAGGGGAAAATATATATACATTTCCAGCCATTTTTAGTATCCATCTACATTTTCAATCCACGTTTAGAAAGCTAAACAGCTCTGACCTCTTGGAGTCCAGAGGTCGACCGTCGCTGCTGACACTGCGTGGAATGGCAGCGCCTCTCTCTAACCTCTCAGCGGAAAGGGTCTTTCCCACCGAGCTGCCCAGGCTGACGGCTCGGTTGGGTGTGTGCGGCTGTGGTGAAGCAGTCAGGGATTGCTGAGGGCTGCTGGATGTCCTCTGCCACTTGTTATTGTTGCTGCGGAATGGGAACTTGTACTCAAAGGAGCCGCTGTCTGTGCTGCTGCCTTTGTACTCAGACACTGGCACTCGATAGAGCTCTGAGCAGCCCCTAAAAAAACAGGACAAATTGAGTTAAAATGTTCTTCTCTATTGACATAGTTTTGGGATTTGGGACTGTTAAATGATGCATATAAAAGGTCATATTTGTTATATTTCCTCGGAGCCTCAGTTTTTTTCAGTTTGCATATAAAAGTGATTTGACTGCACTCAAAAGCTGGAGCTATAACAGTGGATTGATTTTATTAGTTAATTAAAAAAGGTCTTCAGACATGAAGTGGAAACTATCCTGAAACAAATTCAATTAGGTTGGAAAAGCAATTATTTTTGATCAATCAGATTTCAATCACTGACCTCAGAGACCATCTTTCACTCTAAAAATTTGCAACCTAGAATCAGACCTTTGATGGGGATGCAACTGTACAGCAGTGAGTCTGTCTGCATGTCTCCCTCTTACCTGCGTGGAGTTGCATCATCATGTGGTGGGATGATGACAACACGAACTGTCACCGAATTTCTGAGCAGGTCAATCATCTGCTCGTGGGTCAGAGTTGCAACAGCGACTTTGCAGATTTCGACCAATCGGCTGCCCTGACGGAGTCCCGCCTGCCAGGCGTATCCATATGGCTCCACCTGCGAACAAAAAAGTTTCACTGTATTGCCCTAAAACTAAAAACTTACAATCAGAGGTGCAGAAATGAACACTACCACCTTTTAATTTGTTTTACAATTTGCTTAACTAGGTTACATAATTTATGAAAAGGAAAAAGGATACGATCTAAATACAATGATTGGCTTTTTTTGGTTAAGCTGGAGAAACTCTAAAGAACTTAAAATGGTTTTAAACAATGAAAAAAACCTAAATTATGGCTTTTGTAAAAACAACTGGTATCTGAGACCCATATAAAATGCTGTTGAAAAGTATGTGACTGTCGGCATCACTCCTTGTGAGCCACCAGGCTGCAAACTCCACCACAAATGTTCAACTATCTCAGCCTACTCTTGTTTGAACGGCCCACAAAACTCTCTTCTAGGAATGTGCACAAACCTGGAGATTCTCTTGCTGTCTTAATGTTTATCACTTTTCAGCATCGTGAGACCTGCTCCCGTCATTTTTAAACCAAAGCGCTAAGTTTCCAAAGGAGAGCATTTTTTTCCTACTAATTACAATATGCAAGCAGACAAATTCTACATGACTTATATCAAGGTGAAATAACTGAAAACTGCAGCTGTATGTAAAGAGAACAGTGATGCAAAACAGATGACAGGTTGTCATTGCACTATATTGACCTCTCCAGAGTTGGCAGAATAATTGATATTTTGATTGAGCTGGTACTAAGAATATTACTCTAAGGCTCCTTTGCATAAAACACAAATTAAAACTGATCCAGTGACATATCCCTAAATTGTCCTGTACCCACTGAGACATTTGGCCCCTTCCATCTCTGAAGTTGCTGACCTAAACCATTAGAAGCTGCTGGAAGCTTAACCTCTGCTAACATGTCTAGTGCAGCCAAAACTCTTCTTATAAGTTAGATGAAGAGGAACAAAAAAAATGATGCTTTAAGCTAGATGCCCTAACGCTCTAACTGATGCTATTACTCTTAGGTTTGAGAGCCATTTTTAAAAAAGTAACGAAAGCTCCTTTATCTGCAACAGCCTATAAGTAAATGTCCCAGATGACAAAAATGTAACATTATCTTTTTAATATTAGCTAAACAAACAAAGCCAATTGATATTGATCTATTGGTCTGAGCATGTCACATGAAACCTGCTCTGTTTTACTACAATACAATAAACCCAGGAAAACATAATTAAGGCAACATCTCATTCACCTACTAAACAGGAAGACTACACAATAAACCAGTGTGGCATCCTCCATTACTCCTCAGTTTAGTTGTAGAGCTATTGTGTGCTAACGTTGCTAATAATAACATAGGTTATGGTGGAGCCAGGCTGAGGCAACTAGAACAGAAAATAGTGGCAATATTATATTCAGAAAAAGTAACAGAAAGGTAATATATCTGCATGGGCCAGATCCTCGTTTACAAACTAAATATCCATTAATATTAATAGAAAAAATTATAATCATCTTCAATTAAATTATTGATGTTTATTGTGTTTACCACCATGATCAGGCCTCCTTATTTACACTTTTCTAAATAAGAGGATAAGAGATTGTTACTGCTTTACGTGGCAATAAAGAGTTCAAATAAAATAGCTATTTTCAAAACACATTTGTACATGGATAAAAATATGATAAAATACAAACACTTTTTTTGCGAAATTACTCACAACTACATCATGACCAATTGTGCAATGATCCTTACAGTTTTAAAAAAGATAAAACATTTATGATGGAGAAAAAATACCTCTGCCACAATGCCTTCATAGTTAACGTGGAAGCCAAGCTGCCCCAAACCATTTCGGCGAAGCGTCATCTCTGTTGTCTCACAGCCTTTAGTAAGAAACTGGACAAACAGAAAGAGAGAGAAACATCCATTAATCAACAGGGTAAATCTAATTTATTTAACCTAAGATAATTAAAACTTTAAGAACTGTCACTGTAATTGTGTGGCTCTGTAAATATGGTTCTACTGAAGTTCAAGGAATTTTTAAGACAATATAAGTAAGCCGTTAGAGAGTTTAGGGAAAAAAGCATGAGGTCCCATTGAAAATACAGCTTTCTAAATTAATCTGCAGTGAACAGATGTGCATGAAGGAGAGAGCACTCTATCAGTGAAACTTGACTATGTGTGAACACAAAGATGTGTTAACATGAGGGAAACTTTCTTGAACTTCTATTTTATCCAGTGAGTCCTATTATTCAGGTGAAGATGGAAGAGTGCGTAGAAGCAACTGTGCTTCATCTCACTAGACCTGGAAATGGGAAGGCTGAAAAAAAAAACTCCACCAATAAGCACACAATGGATCAGTAAAAGTACGTCTAACTCCATTGTTGGCATTCCTATGTAAAATGTATGTAAAGAAGAAAAAAACTAAAACACTGCTAGCCTAATTTATTTACATCACACAGTAAAAATGAATAAGAAAAGCACATGTGCATGTAAACATGCATGCATTTATGCATTAAAGCCAGAAGGCAAATTAAGGATTTTAGGCTCTACTGATTATATAAGAAAAAACATTTTTCCTGACCAGTTTCCATGGAAACAGCTAAGAAGGAATAAGCATCACTTCACTGTATGTGTAGGTGTATGAGCCATTAGCAGAATGTTGTCCAGAGGTGTTTCTGAAACTCCCCTCAATAAACTGAGACCTATGAAGAAACAACAGGCTAGCAGGCGAAAGAAACAAAAAATGTTTCATTCTGAAAGACTGACCACCACCAGTAAAATGTAGGAGAGCCTGTGAATAGGTCAGGTAAGTACCAAAAACATATTTCTTTTATTTGGTGTTTGATCCAATACTGCATCATTAGTTTCCTCTTTCTCAGATTTTTCAAATGCAAATTCAAAAGGTATTTCTGAGCAGAACTGAATTAAACATGCAAACATTTTATGATGTGTAAAATTTACTGCTATGTGCATATTTTTTATACATATATATATATATATATATATATTTTTTTTTTTTTTTACCTCAAGACGTTTGATCACTTCTTTGAAATCCTCTGTATTATTGCCGATGCTCCTCAGAGACACACATTCTCCCCGCTCATAGAAAATCTTTAAGGAAGCGGGACTGCTGAGTGTCCAGCCAATCACATCCTTAGTAGCACAGTTGAACACCACAGCTTTGGCCTCCTGGTCCAACAGAATCAGAAAGTCATTGGAAATAGCCAAGAGGGCCTCGATTTCTCCTCCGTTTCCGTGATCTTCAGCATAAACTGGCCAGGTCACCGCCCCGAGGCTGCGCAGCTCTGCTCCTTCATATGGCTGGGTCTTCTCCTTCTTTTTATGAGCCAAAGAAATGAAAGGAAACTTTCCTGATGGATCAATGGGGGTGCTGGTGGTGTGGCGTTCTGCCAGGTCCCGCAGGTACTCCTGGCGTGTTCGGGTGGCCATGGCCCGAAATTTATGGGATTTGTGGGCAGCGTTCTCAGCATTAATCACTTTGGCCAGCAGGAACTCCCTGAACACAGATGACTTGGGAAAGGTCACGCCCTCTGGGATAGGGGGGCCGAACGAGGGCATATCTTTGGAACGGGTGACTGCCACACTGAAAGAGAAAAAACTAATAAGTCTAACAGGAATAGAAACAAAGACCCAAAAACAGAATCCTTATTTAAATCTGTACTCTCACCTGGTCTAGATTAGAAAATTAGTGCCCGAAAAATGTATTTATTGATTTGTTACAGAACAATCTAACAGTAAATCCCCATCTAAAATTGGAACCATTTATGAATAGATAGCTTAACCTCACAAGCTTTAAGATGTTTTCTTACCAAGCAGAGAAATGCATTGTTTTTTAAAAGTTATATTTTGAACGTTTCTTCTTCTAATTTAAACATAACTTTTTTCCCCCTCACGATCTCTTTTTGTCTCTAAACTGTCTAAACTGGGGTTTTTTTGTCAGTAAAAAATACATTCTGTTTATGAAAACTCTTTAACAAAAGCAGAAGCTTAAATGTTTTGATATCTTTAACCAGAGAGTGAATCTCTGGCCCATTCTTAACCATGAACTAAGAAGGTTTTAGAGGTTAAAAGGAGCAGCAGGGTTTACCTTTTTCTTGAATGGGTGCATCAAATTATAGATTTATTTTGGTCAATACTGCAAAAGCCAGCAGTTGTGTTGTAATGAATAAAAATCTAAAAGACAAAAGGCCATTTTAATGGAAAGTTTTATTTTTTGATAAATAACAAATGAGAATCATATCTACATCTAACAAAAAATAAAGTTTGAATTATGAAGAACCCTGGAGATAAACAGTTTTCTACACTTCTATCTATAACGTATCCTGAATTAAAAACGCAGTAGAGTGGTGCTCTGGGTCACATGACCCGTTCAGGGATGGATCCTACCCTCTCAAGTTACACAGGCATTTTTTTGTGATGAGCAGCCTGCATGGAACATTGATACTTACCTAAAAAAAAATATCATAAAATCCATCTTAAATAACCTAATACTTTGGTCAAAAGTTCCACAGCGTTTCTATAAATTAAACCTATCTAATCAACCTCCAATAAATTATACATTTTTTTTATAACACCTTTGAATACTGGAGTATTGTCAAATGTCGCTGTTTGTTTAATGTTATATTGTGATAATCTCAACCTCATACTATGCCTGTTACATATTAAAGTGTGTATGTAGTGTATTGTGCCCGTTTTTTCCTTAAGTAAGACCCTAGAAGGGACTTTTCAGGCAGTCTGCCCTTTCTGGCATGTCAGGAATTCAACTGAAAAACCATGAACAGATTGGAAAAAAAAAAAGGATGCACCATGACTGCTTTTCCAAGCATGTTGCCAAATGTGACTCCTGGGTGGAAAAAAAAAGGAAAATGTATCTGAGAAAAAGTGAATAAAAGGCTGACAGAATGGGGAAACAATGCAAACAGGTGGGGGAATGAGAAACAATAAAACACTACAAAGCTGGCCTGGAAAGCTTATATTCCTACATGGTTCAACTTTTCTAGAACTCGATCACAAAAACCTATCACAGGTGATAATTGCAAGGTGACAATAGAAGCACTGGAAGTCGGAGCAACCATCCCACACAACTCCCCGCTGACAAGCATCCGCACACATGTTGACACTCGGATTAATCTCACTGCCTAATAAGCAATACCTCTATCCCCCACATATTTCTAAACATACCTTAGAGACCCCCTGTCTTCAACAGAAACGTGTGGTGTTCAATTATGCTTGCCTTCAAAATGTTGACAACTTATTTCCCACATTTCCTTCTTTGTGAGAGACTGATATAAAAAGAGGAAACATTTTTCCTTGGCCAAAATAGCCTTCCAGGATGAACAAGAATTGATTTTAAACAAATTCAAACATGGGAAAAAGCTAGCATGTCAAAGGTTATCTCACATTCCCATCAAGGTAAAAGTAGTTCAAGTCTACTCAAAAAGATTATGCAGAAAAGCAAGAAAACCAGCAGCCATAACATGGCCATCATTGCACATTGAAATAAAAAAATACAAAAAAAAGAAAAAAATGTGGAATGGAAAGGAAAAGTTAACTTTTATAGCTGTGATGTTTACCGTTTACTACATATAGGAAACATAAATCATTAGGTCATGTCCACATTAATTTCACAAAATCACAAAAATGGTTGAATCCCACTTGTGGCAGGAAGGCATAGTGTTAGGAAGGGTGGAAAGTCTCTGTTATGGAAATAGCCTACAGGACATGCACATCCTTGGTAGTCCAGCCCATCAATTCCCTGTCAGAAACTATGGTCGATAATTCACAGGAAGCTACAGTGATCAATGATCCTAAGGTAGGACCACTGATAAATTTTGAAAGCCCCTGTGACCCAACATGATTCCAAACTAGTTAATTAGAACATATCGGTGACGCCCCAACATAGGGCGTTAAAACAGTTACAAGTATAATTGAGGATTTTCACGAATCTTAGACGCGTCATCTCCACTTCATAAAAATATGCACATGCACAACCCTATACCCAAGAGAGAACGGCTGTTAAATGCGTGAGAGTATGCACAAGCCCATTTCTACTCGTGCATGCTGTGTTTAAAAGCTGCTGTTTGCATTGCACATACAAGCTTACTTTCCAAATGTTTCCACTATGTCACTCACCAGAGTGACAATGGGGATGAGCCTTACCTAAACGTATCACCAGAATGATTGACAATTAGGAGGACCACTTATTTTGATGATCCACCCTAAAAAAAGAACACACTCCACTAATTAAAAAAAACTCATGTCGATTATGATGTTATACCAAGACTTTAGATTTAGATTAGATTCAACTTTATTGTCATTGCACAGGTACGGGTACAAGGCAATGAAATGCAGTTTGGGTCTAACCAGAAGTGCAATAGCAGCAAGTGCAGGATAAATAATGTTAGCAATGTTCCCATACAGAGAATTAGTAACAATCTAAAAGATTTTTGACAACTCCTACACAAGAAATCGACAGTAATGCAGCTATATATGCTTGCAGCTCTTTAAATGAGTAATGAATCATAGGGTATTTCAGAGAGGAGAGCTGAAGTGGGTTCACAAGCAGCCAGAGTAAAAAGAATGAGACCTTTCAATCCTATTCTCTTCCATCACTACAGATGCTGCTAAATGCATTATACTGAAGCTCTGAAAGCACTTGGCTGATCTCAAACACCTGTGAGTAAGTTGAGTCACGGCCTATGACTCATGCAGGACAGAGCCTGTGATGGTGATATACAGTTAGGGGAAGAAAAGCAAAGAATAAGACCGCATACAGAGAGATGAACTAAAGGTGAGGCTGAGGATGGTGAGGAGGAGAGGAATACAATACAATTGGAAATGCCAGACAATGAGGCTTCTTGGGCATCTTCGTGGAAGGAAGTTGAACAAAGGGAATTGAAGAGTTAATTCCTGTGGTTTGAGTGATTTGTGGGCTTATAAATATCCAGAGTGTGGGCAGTCTGCTCTTCCAGAAGCCACAAACAGCTGCCCACCAAGCCAGGCCAAGAAAAAGAAAAGCAGAAAGAAAAAGTCAATACCTCACGCTGTGGGAAGTTTAGAGGTGGACAAGTGTTTAGGGGGATAAATGTGGGAAAGGTGCATGAAGTTTACCACGTTTTAGTCTTTATGGGACAATTCAACAAAACAAAAGCCTTTTAAGGTTAGATTACTTTACCTGAGAAAAGAGGAAAACTGATTTAAGAGCAGACCCATCAAGAACATTTTTCATATTCACTAACTATTGACTTTTATGTCATCACATATGAGGTTATGTTATATCCTATTCCCATTTCATATGATCTGGACAGTCTTTATTGATGAGTTTAAGATCTGCTTTGTTTTGATTCAACCCCTGAAATGTAAAAAAAAAAAAAAAACTCATGTATTCTATTAAACTGTATTTATTGTATCATATCTTAGTCAATGTGAATTTTGAATTGCGGAGACAATGATTCATGTTTGGTGAAACATGTTATCGTGTATGCATCGAATCTAGTTCTTTCACATCTATGAATCACAGACGGAAGACAAAAGGATTTGTTTGACATCCACTGTGCCACAGGGCTTATTGCTCACGTGTGTTTATTTGTTGATGCTTTGTATTCAAGTAGCCACATGGGGGAAGATTAAGGCTTCACACAACTTGCTCACACAGCAATTAAAAGCAGCAATGATTGGAGTCAAATGGAGTGTGACCAAAAAGAACAAAACTAGATAAGAGTGAGGTAAATAAACTGAATAACATTTCTTTTTATGTTGAACACTAAAGCTAAGGCTAGGTGTACTGATTACAAAACTTTTGTTAAGGAGAAAGTCTGGTTTTGTGCATTTTCTAAATATTACACAAAAAAAAAAAGGTGGTGTTTTTTTTTTTTTACCTAAAGAGAAGATTTTCTACACTCATAGTTTCATAATGGTTTGCTGTTTTAAAGTACAAAACTCTGGGCAAGATTGCAATAGTATCATTCTTTCAGCCCTCATGAAATATGGTTAATAAGAAACAACAATCAAAATAAAATAAATCCCCCAAAAAATGTTTTATTTATCAATATTTTTGTTGTGTATTTTTATTTTTGCACTAGTTGCTTTTTTATTTTAGGTAATATGACAGAAATAGGATGAACAAATGACCATAGGTCTGGACTCGCACCCAAGGAGGACTAAATATGGTTAGTGCACCCTACCCATGCACCCCCGCTATGCCCTATATGAACTATTTGAAGTTTTTTCTCATAATAATTTGACTCCTCCACGACCAGATTTGGGAATGTTTGCAGTTGCTTTGAGTATGTTCATCATGCAAGCCTTTTTTTCCCTAATGGAACTCATTTCAGGTTATTTTGAGAACTCTTTAAATCCCTTATCAGACACAAACGCTAATAAAATCTCTCTCAACGCCTCAGATGGCTCTTTTAGTCCTACCATGAGGTGCATTTTTACCTCAACATTACAAAATACATCACTAAAATAATATCAGATGTTCAAACTGGAGAAATCTTTTTTATTTACACCTAATTAGAGACCAATGTATTAGTCATCAGAAATAATTTTCTCATTAGAATTTACCAAAAATGTACTTCATTCCATTCTAATTATATCACTTGAGTCTTTCAGCTTTGTTAAAAGCTATAATTAACCCACATGTAAAATTTGGTAATTCAAATAAAAAAGGTTTTTAGGATTGCCTTCGACTGTTCTAGTTAAACATCATTAGTTCAACTTTTTTATTTTCTTTAGTCCAACTATTTTTAATATTCTTTTTTGTTTCTGCATTTTTTATCTTATTTTATTTTTTTTTTCTTAGTTGCTATGATTCTGTTTTATTTTCCTATATTTTAATCATGTAAAGCACTTTGCATTGTCTTTGTACTGAATTGTGCTATACAAATAAATTTGCCTTGCCAGGTTTAAAAAGCACTCTTTTTGTTTTTGACACATGACTATATCTTTAAAAAATAGAGCTAAAATGCTATAAAGTAAAAATGAGTAAAGGAAGAGAAAGAAGGCAGTATCTAGATTTACAGTACACCGTGTTTCTGAAGCTCACCTGTAGGAGCTGTTTTCAGAGCAGGGGTTATGAGCCCGCACAATCACAAATACGTGCTGGAAGTGAGAGCGAATGTTTTTAGGAGTGAAGGGAAGCGCTCCAGGTTCCTGGAACACGATTGTTACGATGTCATTCCCTATGTGCCGCTTCCGCAGCAGCTGCACAAGGTCGATGAGGAAAAGAAAAAATAGATTAGAAATTAAAACTTAAGAGACCTCTCAAAGACAGCCAGCTCTTTATAGTTGCATTCCAGTAAAATAGTACAACCAGCTACTTAATCCTTCATTTATACAGGATGTCACAGGATCAGGGAATACTCTTAAAAATCAACATCATTGTGTGGAAGCTGTTACGCTTCCTGTTACTCCTTTCCATGAACGCCTTTTATACCTGTTGCTTATTGTTGGGTGTGTAGGGAAGCATTGTTGACACGTGGAACATGATCTCATAATCCTTGTAGGTGGTATACAAGGAGTGGGAGCCTGTTGAATCCGCTGTGGACAGACCAGGGTAGGTTAATTTCTCAAGGACATCAAAATAATAAATTAACATATTTTAAAATATTCAGCAAAAAGACAAAAAAAAATTCAAAAATCAACAAAAAAAAAATGCTTTGATTTTAACACTTAAAGCATTTACAAGTTACAAACAAACATTCCTAAGACTTCCACTTTCAGATTTAAATCGGCTGGTGATCAGATTTTTGATCAAAAGCTAAAGACTATTCTTTAACCGTCCACAAATAGTAAAAAGAAAATATTTTTTATTTTAGCCTTTTTAAGTTTTATCAGCAAATCTCACAGAGAAACAGCAAATTTACACAGATGGCACACAAGACTTGTCTTGCATACTTAGAAACGTTGGAGCAACACTATGAACCTGGAATATTCCAGGGAATTAAGTTGTGGTTTTAAAAAGACTCAGAATGAAACAACATTTGGCCGTGAAAGTAATCAGCTATGAAAATCTTGTTAAAAACAAAAAAATTTAAAAGTGGTAAGATGAGCAAATAAAAAAGTTTAAAGTACAACCCCCTGAAGCTAGATTGTTTACCTTGATGCTAACGTCCTATTTACCATTTTAGATTTCTACATTTTATTAAAAAAATTATTATGTCTCTGTCTACCAAAGAGCAGCATTAAATGCCTGTATCAACACTCATTTTATTGCTTAGCAGCTAAAAATAAAGGTTAGATTTTTGTCATAATCACACAAATACATACTCTTGGTGTCCAGCTGAGCTCGATACTTGTTGAAACCTTTGAGCCTAACTCTCTCGCCCAAAAGATGGAGGAACTCTTCCAGCGCAGGACCGGCTGCTTCATTATTGTACATCTCCTCCTCGCTGCTCTGGCCTGCCATGCAGTACATCACCCCCACCTTCCGCTGGAAACTCAGCTGCACAGAGAACACAATGAAAAAGACGAATCCGCAACATTACCTTGTAGAAGTTAAGACAAAGTCACATTATTGACATTTCAGGCAGAACTTGTGTTGGCATTTCAGGAACAACATTAAGTTGTTCTGTTGTGATTGTGGTGCCATTTCCCCCCCAGAAATTACGTTGACATTTTAAGAGATTTTCAACATCTGATGATTGCTCCAGGGAGCGACCATCATGATCATGGAGGAGCCTGTTTTGTGCTTTGAGGTTCAAATGTTATTCTGAACCTCAAAGCACAAAAGTTATTAAAAAAAGCTAAGCATAAAAAGTAATTTTAGAGAGTAAATTCCTCATAACAGGTTATGGATATGAAAATGATGATGCTAAAAAGGGCCTCCTCAATATGGGGGGGTTCACCTACAGAAGAAACAACTGATGAAATATAAACAATATTTGTTTACTTGACAAACCACCTTGTATTTAATTGGTCGATAAAGTTCTGGTAGTGAATAAACAGAACCCTCGACATTTTCTCGCACCCACAGCATCAATGATCAATGTGTACACTGGAAAAATGGAAATCTAGATAAGTCATTTTTTTCTTCAAATAAGTGCATTTTTTCTTGGATTAAGGAGGTAAAAAGAGACATTTTGCCAATGGAACAAGACAACTTACTCTTAAAATAAGAAAACACTGTTGCATTGTTTTTTTTTTCAATTGCATATTATCTGAATATCTTATTTTAAGGGTAAAAATACTCATTCTATTGGCAAACTATCTAACTAACCTGCTCAAATTAAGGGTAAATACACTTAATTCAGGAAATTTAAACTTGTTTCTAGATCGTTTTTCCAGTGTAAACAGACTTGCAGAAATGATCGTACGACATAGCATAATCCTCACACTAAAAAACAATTTTATCTTTATTCTGTAAAAGCAACAAGGATTTACTCCCAGCATCATTACAAAACAACAGCTACATTTATTTATCTTAAAATTCTGGAGAAAAAAAAAGAAGTTAATAACCACTTAATGGCGTTCTCATATAAATATCGAAGTAAGATGGAGGCGTTTAGGCTCTATGTTGACCTATATTTATATTGCCATCTCATATGATAACCATTTAAAGGAGAGAAAATGTATCTGTTGAAATTTCAGTTAGAAAACGGCAGAAAAAGTGACACCTGTGCTAACCAAGTGTCTACAAATACCATTAAAAGCCATCCATGAGTCATCTAGTCATTTGGAAGCATGACGGGTAAAATAGAGAAACATTTTCTGTTTCACAACCCCTAAAAAAAATGTAATAAAAATAAACTCTAGCTTGCCAAATGCTGCTGATAGTGGAACTTTTAAACACACCTGCTATTTCTCCAAGTAGGTGGGCGTCCCAGGGGAACTTTTGTTTGTCATATATTTATTATTTCATCATTATTTCATCATTCAATACCTCGAGCAATGTTATAGCATTGGGTTAGCAACTCTATCATGCTAAAAATTGTGCTGTGGTATGTTCCAATTATGGGTTTCAACCAGAGACTTGAGATATGGCATTTTATCAAGATATTCTGTGGCATTTATTATGAAAATCATAACACTGACAATACAAAAAAGTACCAATGTCTTTGGAGTTGTATGGTTTAACAGTTTGTAACTTTAGACACAAATACTCCTCTTAAAACAAGACTTCTGTTTAAATAGGCTTTCTTGCTGCTCTATTTACATAAAGAAGGGGGATTTCTGATCCACATGAGCTGGCTTCATTAAATCATATATTTAAACATGTACACATTACTGAGGTCTCAGTTTTCTCATAAAATTATATTTTAGCCATTAAAGGTTAATGAAGGCTATTTTAAATATATTTTTCAGTAAAAACTTACATATGTCTCTCTAATCGTTATTTAAAGTAATGAATACTACAGCTTTCAAAAGAGCCTTGTTTCATTATTATATAGCATAAAGTGTTACATTTCCATACCAATAAACCCTCCATTTTTAGTAAACCGTTGCAACATTCAAAGAACACTTTCAAGATGTATAATTAAGAAAATGAATGGCCTTCAATGTAATCCAGGAATTAACTCTCTGTATTTGTTCATTGTGTCTTCTCACCCCCTGCTCATCTAGCTTCATCAGCTGATCCGTGACCTTAGGCGTGTTGAGTGCCAGACGCAGGCAGTGAACATTGAGCTCAGGGACCAGATATTCCAGCACTTCTTTGAGAGGCAGACCTCGGGCAAGACCATGCTTTGCTGTCGATGGCACAGCGTCCTCAAGAATGGAACCACGCAGGGTGTTAAGCTGTAGACAATAAGAACATATGTGAGAGGAGTTGTGCTTTTTTTAAACTCCAGATAAATGTGCTCTGAAGATAAAGAGAGGTGTAGTGGCTGTCTAGCTAAAGAAAAAAAAGGGGAACAGTGTGCAGATTTCAAATCCAAAGTCTCTAAAGCTTCAGGGTCAGACAGACACAGGGAGGACTTCCATAAATAAATGAGGAAGACTGCAGAGTCCAAGGCTGGAATATCTAGGATGAAGAAATAAAGAGTGCTGGCAGTCTCCATCTACAGGCACTTAAGGCTGTCTTTGTTTTATGTTTGGTAGTGCCTGTGGTGGTGTAAACACACAGTTTCAAATCAAGTGAAGAGGAGAAATGCTCTTAAAAAGAGCGATGGACAGTAGTAAAGGACAGTAGCTCTTGATGAACAAAACGGTCTCAAAGCCAAAACATCCCACTCACTCCCACACACGTGTACTTTTAAAGAAAATAAAAGCTACAAATCTTTTTAAAAAAAATTACATATGATAGAGGGATGCACAGTAATAATCATGATAAGAAAAAAAACATCACGATTGGTTATTTGTCATCCTAAGGGATCGCCAGGCCAGTAACTCATGTTATGCTTTAATGCAGGAACTATGCTTTAACTTTGATACTTTAATATTTCTGGTCTAAATTCAACCTTTTAAGTCATTCAGAGATGAAAGCTGACAAAGACTCTGAGTGGGCGTTCAGCGCAGCGAATGAGCACATGGATTTTTAGCACTAGTGATTTAGAGAAGACTCACTCCCTAAAAAAATGGCTGATTGAGAACACAAAGACTAAACTGGAGGAAATGCATCAAAACATGAGATAAAACATTCAATGATTTGAGGTGGTGGTAAAGCAGAAGCACCAGAATCTGGAGCTGACAACCATGAGGCTTTTACATCGAACCCCTGCTGGGTGAAGATCCTGTGTGTTAACTCCTACACAATCTGAACTCATAATAGCTTCTCTGTAACATCCTTCTGAACAGAATGTACTAAATATTGACACATTTAGAAGACACATTCATGAACATTTATACAATAGCTGCAGCTAATAATATAGCAAATCTAGATAAACGGAAAGCTAAGATAAAAACAAACACTAATAAAGAGACAAATCCAGCAGAAAACACACCACACAGAAATGTATTTTTGAATACACTCTGTTGTACAAAATGATAATGAAGTCTGTCTAAGACTAAGAAGAGTTTTTTTATAGTTTAATGTTATTTTACCTCACTCGTTCTAAAGATGACCCTGTAGTTATACTGCTGGCCGTGATCCTTGTGCTCCTCCAGCTTCTCTCTCCTCAGACTCACCGCCACTGGGCCCAAGTTCTCATCTACCCCCAGATAGTTCCAGTGCTCTAAGGTTTAAATTGAGAATACATTTGAGATTGGATTAAGATGGCCACAAGGAATAAAAGGCTCTCTGTAATAGAAAACAACTGAAAGAGCAAGGCAGATTATGACAGTTCAATTATTACAGCAGCATAGAATAGAAAGTGCTAAAGTAAGTTGCCTGCTCTTAGGATTCTTTAAAGTTGAAAAATCAGAAGTCATACGGTGGCATCATTAAGTTTACATATATTTACCACAGATTTTTTAAGCATAAATGGTAGACATCACAGAAACATGTCTGTTTCCTGTCACTGTCAAATATCCAAGTAGCTCAGTTATTCCAGAAGCTCAATGCTGTATGCTTTTATACGTATTGCTTGGTCTATATTTCTAAAAGTTTCATTAAATCAAAAACAACCCCTTCTTCTCAGCAGGACCTCCCCCCATTCTGTTGTGATACTAAACCTACTTCAATGTGGACAAGGACACTATGTGGAGTTCAAAAAACCTCCAGTTTATCACAAGCTTCAGCTTAGATGGATCTGGGGTTGTAGCTGAACAGATGCAGTTCTATAGCCTTAACTTAAATGTCGGATCCTTTAGTGCAGCTGTGAACAGTGAATCAAATTCTAACCCTTCGTGAAAAAAGCAGCAAGTTTTCCAGCTGGTTTTCCAAACGCTTTAACAGCAGAAATCATTTTTTTACCAGTTCAGTTCCAACTCAAAACGGCAGCTTTTCTCCAGGCTTGACAAACATACATCGAGTGTTAAAACAACATATGTATGTGAAAAACAGAAACTGCTAAAAAAAAAAACAGAGTGTTCAATAACTAATAACTAAAGAAGCAGCACAAATAGGAAGCAGCTGTTTATAGACTAGTATTTATAGATTTATCAGAGATATAATAGGGTTCCAAATGAACCCTGACTGTAGAGGACCTTAGACCTAAAAGGACAGTTAAAAAAATAAACTTAACTTAAATCAAAACTAACTTTTTACCCAATTGTGCATGCAGACTAAGAACACCATTTAATGGCAGTCAGAGCTCCCCTTAAAGATGAAACCTAACTAAGCTAAAAGTTTTTAGCCAACAATACAGATATGAAACCTACCAGATCAGACATATCTTTGGTTATCTGATGTAGGATTTAATCTAGGGGGTGAATATGGCCTTGTGCTTACATTTAACTCCATTACTTCTCCATTCGTTGGTCCAAAGTGGTCTGCTATCAGTTCGGATTTTGCAGCTATACATTGTTGCCAGAGTAAGCATTCATCACTTAAGTCATTTTAGATAAATCTGGACACTTAATTTCTGAGAAAGATCCTCTTTAATACCTTTAATGGTGACCTCTGATTTACATAAAAAGTTTCATGACCCCTAATTTAAATGCAAATGAGGTATTTACTACGTGTTGCATTATTATTCCACCTCTGAAAAAGCCTTAAAAAAAATCACAATTAAAGAAGAAGAAAAAAAATTACAAAGTTATCTGTCTAATTCTCTTACCTCTAAGATAGAAATACTTTCTGTAATAATAGGCACCAAGGTCAACGTGTTCCATTATGTATCTTTTGGACCTGTCAGCATGGTGACTTTGCCCATCTTTAGCAGCCTCCAACACCGCCACTCCTGCATTAGTGAAATGGGTAGTCAGAGTGGCTTCCAGGGGTCCTTCTTCTGTGCTACCAGAGGAACTGCTGGAGCTCCCTCCACTACCAATGCTGCCCTGCTGTAAGTTAGATCAAAAAGAGGTGAAGCAACCAATCAATGACACCCAAACAAATTTCTTCAGCAAGTCTTAAATATGAATCTGATAATTAATGAATAAACATTTGTTTTCCTGGAAGCATCTTACCTGTTTAGCAGGTGAAATGTTCCTCTCACCCTCTCCCCCAATTTCATTTCTAAAACAAGGGCAGCTAAGAACCAAATCATTGCTCTTATCATCTCCAGGGTCCATTGCAGGGTTGGTACCATGCCCTCCAGTACCCTCCTTGCTCAGCTCTTCCTGTGAGCCACAAGGGGAGCCGAAGTTTCCACTCTGGTTGGAGGAAAGAGAGGATGTGGCTGAAGCAGCGGCGGCGGCCGAGGCACCGGTAGTGGTGTTCTTGCGTTTAGAGCCACACTGACGGTTTTGGATTGCCTCATTGAGGTCGAAAAGTAGAGACTGGACGTCAAAATGGGCAAAGCCTTTTTGGCACACCCATGGTTTAGGAGGTGGACCACTTTCATCACCTTTCCCCCCGTCTTCAGCATCTGAACCAGCCCTCGATGTGTCACCATCCACCTTTACACTGCGCAGCTTGCGGAATATAGACTCTCCACCTGTTTCTGACTTTGACCTTCTCTTTAAATGCTTCTCCCGCTCCTTCAGTCGACTGGCAGGACTGCCTCGTGCTGGACCATCAGGCAGGTCCAGGGCGGCCTGTTTAATGGGGGCCACAGTTAGGAGTTCTGACAGTCTTTCTGGAGCTGGGCTTCTCTGATCGGGGGCCTCAGCAGACTGGTATCCCTTCAGCATGTCAAAGAAACTCTCTCCTGAGACACCGTGCTTGTCTATTGAAGAGGTGCTGCCATATTCACGGTGCATGGGTGTCCATCCAGAGAAAGACCAGCCCTCATTTCCCTCTCCGTCCAGCTCACTGATTGTTATATCACTGTTACTACGCTGGCGAATGCGTCTCATCCCTTTACGAGGGGACCCCAGATAACCATCAGGTGACAGGAAGCGATTGTCCTTTCCTTTGCTGTGCATCTTGTTCTTGAGTGTATTCTGGATGTTGCGTAGCATTGATGAGTCTTGTGGGCTTATCAGGTGTCCTAACTTAGCAGAGAGATTGCTGTGGGCTGTGACAGCTGACACATTTCCTCCTCCTCCCCTTTCTCCACCACCTGATCCACCACTTCCACCTCCTCCTCCTCCTCCTCCTCCAAGGATCCTTTCTCTGTCTCCACTTCCTGAACCCGAAGAGCTAGTGGTGTTTGTAGAACTAGGCGAGTCCGTCTCCACCGTGATGTGCCAAACACCTCCCCCTCCTCCATCTTTTCTTGGGGGCCAGTCAGCCACACGAGCTCTAACCCCCATCTTGGGGACACCAGGGTTGGTGCCAGCTGTTGAAGCAGAGGAGATGTGGGCACTTTCGCTTCGAGGTGGCGGTGCCCCTCCATTGGGTAGTCTGAGGCGGCGAGTATAGAACTCATCAGTAGCCGGCACCGATCCCCCAACTGAGCGCTCTGTCTGAGAGCGCTTCAGACTAGTCATGACGAAGAATGGGGAAGGGTGTGGGGAGGGGAGATGGGAGGGAAAGGTAAAGGTAGGATGCGAATGGGGTTAGATTTGGGTCAACATGACGCCCACTGAGTAAAGAGCAGAGGAAGATTCACATCTGGTTCTGAAGAAAGAGAAAAACAGTCAAAAGAAGGAAAAAGCCAATTAATGGGGAAGCAGGAGACGTCAAAATTGATAATTTTTCATTAAAAAAAAAAAAAACAACAAAAAAAAAAAAAACATCTGAACATAAAAAATATTACAGAAGGTCTCACTATGAGCTGTTCAACTATAGACAAAAAAAAAAGCCTGATCGTGTAACACCAATTTCAAAAGGCAACATTTTATTATAAAAAACATTTCTTTCAAGATTAGGATTTTGTACCTTATCAAAACCACAGTGATAAATAAATGTAATGAGTTGACACTTTTATGTCTTTAGTCTTTAAAAAGCCATCTGCACTCTGTTCATGTGTGATGAGAAGTCAGCTTGCATTGACTGTAAAACTGGAACCCAGCGACTGAGAACAGTGGGACAGACAGCCTGTAGGAAAAAGAAAAAAAAACATCAACAAAAAACAGTCAAACTCAAGGTAATACAACTATTTCATACAGGAATATCAAATCAGATTACAACAAGAAAACAAAATATTTCATTGTAAAATGCTTTTCATATTAACCTGCTGAAAAGTGGCAAATTCAGGTTTTATTAGATAGCTTTTTTTGTTTTTATTTTTTTCGGATCTCGTAATTCCTTAAGCAGATGCATTGATTCTTTTTTCATTTAACCAAATTGTGATGTGCATCACTGTGAGAACAAGACTTTTAACTATGCAAGCATCAGGTTAGTAGCACCATCTTTTCTAATCTCCATGATACACACGAAACATAAAACAAATAGAATGTCCTCATTAATGAATGTTAGAAATCAGGAGAATCAAATAAAGAGTATGTTGATGGTCAACAAGGTAAAAAGGTGTGCAGCTCATTAAGCCAATCAAAACAATATGACATGTTTTTTCCTCCTGCAGACATGCAGCTGGGCTGCAACTTCAGGGTGCCAGACTGTTCGCTTTCCAACTGGTTAGTCCATAATGCTAGAACACATCTTTTCAGTCACCATGGAGATAAGCGGTTCTTGCAGAGTCCATATTTCTTAGTCCTGTGTTTAAAAGTGTGTGCGTGGAAGACAGGAGTCTCTTGATTCTCCTTAAACTTTACAATGGAATAGAGGTTTAAGGTTTTATCTATTACCACAAAGAAACTGCAACTGTTATTCTAGAATGCTTCCTACTGAAAAAAATTGGACACATGGCAACAACTCAAGGCTTGATAAAATGTATAAACTACAATTTATATCTGCTTGGTGTTTCTCACATTTGTTGAATGTCATGTAGATCTCTAAAGCAGCGGTGTCCAAATTCAGTCCTAAGGGCTGCTATCTTACATGTCAAAATTGCGTTTCAAGAAAGAAAAACAGCAACAGCGGATAAAAAAACTAAGTTGAGCTAAAGGGAACAACTAACTAGCAGCTTCCTCGAAATGGAGTGGTACAATATTTGACTTTGAAATGTATTGCATAGAAAGTTATAAATACCCTGCCCAAAAAATAACCAGGTTAAGTAAATATACTCTAAAAAAGAACTTAAGAACAGTAATCAAGTAAATTTACTTTGTTATATTTCACCACCTTTCCACACATAAGCGTGTTTCTGATGTCCTCAGGGCAACAGAACCAAACAAACAAACTCATCCAGTCTGGGGGCAAGGCAGGCTTTTAGCTAGCAATGCATAAAAGGAATATACTTTGTGTGCCCTTAACTAAAACTATTAGAAGTTATGCGCCCTGTTTTAAAGTCGTAGGGAAGCGGCTGATTCAACCGTTGCATTTCCGAATTCTCCTGAGTGGTGCACGACTTTACACGCGAACAAATTGAATGTGATTGGTCGTTTATCAAGGGGGGGGATTGTTTTGACGGAAGATTCGCAAACATGTTTGGTTGTGGCCGGTGTCTTGGAAGCATCTTGCTAACCAGTTAGCAACTTAGTGGTAGTAGGTTCCCAATGGGAAAGTCCATTGGGACCAAGTAGCACTTAGAAACGACACTGTCAAGGAACGCTATGGACAGCGGAAACATGCAAGAGGAGGAGAGTTTTGGGTCGGAGGTCATGGATGAGTCTTCTCCGTCATACATTTTTTATTTACAGGAGGAAAGCGGGGACGAAGTTGTTGTGGAAGAGGTCGCAGAGGGCGGCAGAAGCTTCGTTAGGTGTAGAAAGCTTACAGCCCTAAATGTTTGAGCCCTTGCTTCGCAACACTGCGGGTTTCTGTTAGCTCTACGCCTGCCGAAGACACAGACATCCATCTCCGTGAACATTGTCACGTAACTCAATTGTAAAGTAAATGATTCTTATTTGTTATTTCAACCATTGCGTATATTAGCTGCGATATATGAATCAAGATGCTATGACCGAAAAAATGTGATTGTCAGATGATCGTTGATATATGGTTGGCCGAATTTAGGTGTACAAACTGACATATAACTAACTGGCCTGCATAAAATAACAACAACAAAAAAACCAACAAAAAACACAGATTTTAAGACAGAATTTTTTTTAATATAGATATTTTCTAAATTTTGGGACAATATAGTCTGATAAAGAGATATAAATGTTTAAGCCAGAATAATTTGACATTCAAATATGACTTCCCTACAACTTTAAGGATGTACCGCTTTGGTACGCCTCAATGTTTCCTCAGAATATGGTGGAATATCTAACCTCCCAACTTTATTTGTGGGAACAAGCAAGCTGTGCAGTTTGCAAGCAGGTAAGTTTGAAACTTTGAAAAGTTTACAAAAACTCATCAAATGTCTTTGATGAGTATTTGGTATCTTGGAGGGGTTTTTTTTCCTTTAGCTCATCGGGACAATACGGTCTGTGGAACGGGGGGAAAAAACAACACCTAATATAAATGACAACTGCGGAGGGGGAGCGATCGGTACTGAATCCGTAGCAAATAAACAGATACCGCAATTCTTTCATGGTTCTTCAAGAAATTGGAATCCTTATTTCCAAAAGTGGGTTTATTTTGCCGTTTGGACATTTACAACTAGTTTAACTTCCCTTCGGCGCAACGCACTTGCTTGTGTAACACATCAGCTTAGACTTACAAAATGTACTAAGATAGATAAAAATGTGACAATCAAGTTTCACAATTAGTTTCAGTGCCAGCTGCATTCTTAACAGAGTAGAAACAAAGAAATAAAAGCAGACCTGGAACTTTCCTCTGTTGGTTTGCAGATTGTGTTGGAGTATTTGTAGACTGTTTTTAGTTTGTCATTTTTTAACTTGTTGTATATGTAACAAGTTTCACCTTTAGGACTAAGTTTAAGTAACACTTTCTGATCATTTGAATTTACCTATGAAACATAATATTGTGCCTTAAACTTGTCTAATGTCTTTCATATAAAATGTCTACCTCTAATCAAGCACACATACCTTCCATAATCAGGAATAAAACCGTAGGACATAAAGACAAACATTTAGCTGCATTCCACCTCATAATAAAGGAATAGCGTTTCAGAGAATCTAAATTTCAACATTTTCCAGGGTAAGATACCAGTAGACCCTCATGACAATGCTTGCACCTGTTAGCCTGATAAACCAGACTAAGTGTGAGATTAAATGTGTAATTTAGTCTGGCAACTGATTGTGACATAGTAAGCGTGACAGAAAGCTGGTGGGGGAGTATAAAGAAACAGACTGTCGGTAAAACGACGAATACATCCTTCTGAGAAATTAATGAGCGTAGAGCCTCTTCTTGTTCACGTTTAAACGAAAACCCCAAGTCTAATCCTTCCAAAACTGATCCCAAAGCTGAATGAAACGAGAACTGTTCAATAGTTTTTGCCATCTTCCTTGTTGTGCTTTCTCCAGCATTGCACATCTTTGTCATCCCGCACACAAAACCCCGCCCACTCTGCATCCAAAAATTAAAAAAATTGGCCAACCAGTTCTAGGGCCTGGAGCATTGATTGAGGCTAGACCACTCGAAGGCAAAAAAGATTTTGGCCGCTAGTGGGTGGGGCTAGTTTAATAGGCTACGTGCATGTGGCTATGCAGCGCAAAGCCTAAAGATGTGATGCACCAAGGGTTACACCCTATACAATAGTCCTAGCTAAAAGCCTGGGGGAAGGTTTCAATTTTTTTCTGTTGAGACCAGTTACCCAACTAAGAAGTTTGTTATACATCCTGTTGGATACATATTCTTCCTAATGGGGCCCGGTTCAATTGGAACTGACCAACAAAGGGAGAGTGGAACATAAAATGTTGCTCATTAGGAATTTACGTTTTGTCTTTTTGTTTTTTTACCTTTTAACTGTCGCCTGTCATGGAATTTGAGATACTTACATTTTTATAAATCTCATAGTAAATGTTTGATCAATATTCTCTACAGCAGGGGTTACCAACAGGCAGAAAGTGGAACTCGAGGACCACACAGGATACCCAGGGTGTCTTCTGAAAACAGCACAACTCAACAAGTATAATTATTTTATTTTATTCTGTTACTCTTCCTTTTTTTAAAATCCCACTTGCGTTTATAGATATTTCAAAATATTAGAAATTAACAGAAACATAAAAATATTATGCATGATGTTTAGGTGTATGCCTACTCCTCTGCCCCCTACTTTATAGTATCTAAATAGAGTCTGATATTTTACTACTAGTCACACTAATCAGACTAAATGCATACAAAAAGCTGATTCCATTTTTATTTCACTTTTTTTTTTTTTTTGGTAAACATCAGTTTTATAGCAAGAGCTTTTTACGTTTCATTACATTAATTCGGCTCCTTTACTAAAAAACATAAATAAATAAAATAAATTATATTTTAAGCTAATGGCAGCTGCCTCCAACCAAAAAATTTAGTTATCAGAATTGGTGAAATTGTGTGTTCAATATTGTAAGTAAAATTAGCCATTTAAGAAACTAAAATAAAGTACAGATGGAAAGGACTCATTCATTCCTATGAAAATGTAACATGCGGCTAAAGAAAGCCTTGAATGGACATTAAATATTTGCTCTAGATACATTCTTATATGCAGTTCAATAGCATAAAAAGAAGAAACCGCAGTAAAAAAAAAGAAGTCTGGCCTGAAATAAATCACAAATAATATCAAGAAAAAAGTAAATAAGCTTTTAATTTACTGAATGTTGTTGCTTTCTCTTTCTGCTGCTGACCTTGCACATGTCAAGTCTGAATACAAGTTTCGAGGTTGAGTAATTCAATCAAAGAACCTTTGGCTGCTCTGCCGCTCTGAAACCAACTACTCAGCGGCTCTTATTTACCGTTTTAAAAAAAGGAAAGCTGAACTCCTAAATGTCGGTCTAGCTATAATTTTAAAAGTGTACACTGGAAAAGAGGAAACACTCAAGGTGGTATGACAGAATTTGTCCTTTCCATTTTTAGAACTGCCGATAGCCAAAATATATATTTTTTTATTTCCTACGAAGACATCTCAAATTATGAAGTTATTTAC